ACCGCTATACTATTTCTTTTGATTCAGAATAGACAGCAAACACATGACTGAACCCTGATTGGATCACGGGCTAATGGACTCGGCATAGTGAGAAAACTCAAACCACTCAACTAAGGATTTTTATTCCAAACCGAGGACATTTCCGTGGTTCTATCGTGTTCCCCAAACAAAATTTGAGGTAAATCGGTCAAAAAGTTCATAAGTTATAAACAAACAGACAAACATAAATTACCACTTTATACTTACAGATGACAAGGTTTGTAGATTAAAAAAAGAAAGATTAAATGATAATAACAGTTGTAAAGAATAGGTTGAAGAAGAGATGGATACAGCAACACGAAAAAACTGTTTTCTTTGAACAGACAGACAAAAAAACATATAATATTTTTTAACATATATTATTGAAAAATAGATTACTAATGTTAAAAACAAGAATTTTAAAACAAAATATTGTAAAGATATCTATTTACATTAAACGTAAATCTAGTTGCATGTGTCCGATTTACAACGGTACCTTTAAAACCGTTTACAAGGAAAACTGAATTTTCAAATTTTGTTTTCTGCAAGAAAGTGACTGGTGGATTAATGAACATTTGCTACAGAGAACATGCAGAAAATTGCCAGAATTCAACTGATTTTAAGATAGAAAATGACACTTCTTCTTCAACGTTACTCCGGACATGCATTGACTTTAAATGCAGGGTCATTTAGAATTACGGCTACAGTCCTTTTATATGAAGTTTCCCAGTCTGAGAGCAACAGCAGGGAGATAAAATATACAGGAGATATACATACCTTACTCACTCCTGTCAATCATAGATAGATAGATAGATAGATAGATAGATACAGGGTGTCCCAAAAAAACATGGGAATTCAGTGACGAATTGGATATAGTCTTTATTATGAATTAGCACTGTAATACCTAATTTCAAAAGCCATAATATTATTATGTCTGCTAGAATTTATTTTATGAAAAGGGTAAAAGACTGTAAAGATGTGTATATAATGTCTCCGCAAAATGAACAGTGAAGACGGACAAGTTTACTCTGTTCGTATACTGCAATTTTCTTGTTTTACTAAGTAATCCGGTTGCAGTCAAAACATAAACAAACAAAATGTGAACTTAGCAGACGAAACTCTTACAGATTACAGCTTTCTCAGTAGGTATCACTATACTAAATCAAAGAATTATTTGAAAAGACGATATCGAATTCGTCACTGAATTCCCATTTTTATTGGGACACCCTGTAGATATATAGATAGATAGATAGATAGATATATAGATATATAGACTTTTTCATAATTGAAAATATGTATCAACATAATATATCTTATTATTCATAGAATAGTAAAAGATTACTAAATAATTCAGGATATTTTATTAGATCGTCATTAGAGACTCTGTGTTGTAGTTGTTACAATGCTGGCAGTGGTGGTGGAGAATTTTGCTGCAACAGCAGTATCCGTATGTCGTATTCCAAATCCAGCAATTACTATGTTTACTAAAATACAAATTCAGTTATATTTGTTGTTTGTGTTTTTAAGTATTGTCTAAAGTAACTGTGTTGTTCTCTCTGTGAAATCAGTTTTATATGTACTATAGTGTCAATTAGTTTTCTGTGTATTTTTTCTATTTTTGTCTTACAACATGCTGTTCAATTCATATATGTTATCCTTTTATCTGCGTTTTCTGTGAAATCATCGTTGTCTGTAAGTTTATTGTTGTCTAATTTATTTCGGTGTTTGTTTAGTCTTTGTTGCCTGCGTCATCTTGTCTGTATTGTTTGTACTTCTTGTTGTCTATGCTGTCTGCGCTATTAATTTTGTTTGTGTTGTCTGTGTTTTCTGTGATATCTGTGCTATATGTTTTGGGGTATGTACAATAAATGTTCTATGTACTATCTGTGTTGTCTGTGATTATGTTTTAACTATGTTGTCTGTCTTATTTATTAAAAGGGTTACGCACAAAGGATGAGACTGCAAAGATGACCGAAAACTCTTAAAATATAGCAAGGTTGACACGGTCAGATTTTATGCTTCATATAGGTTGAATTTACTTTTACTAAAGGGGCAGATTTGCGTGAACTCATAAAATATAACAATTCCAAGTTTAAATCAAGCCTGCCTGCAAGGGAGTTTCTTGGTAAACATTTTAGTTGACGTAATAATGGAGTATTGGAGAGAAAGAGTTCAGTGTCCGAATTTAATGAATTTGAGCAGCGTCTTAAATCCGCAAAAAACAGGTTTCAATTGAGCGCCGGCTTAAATCATGAAACAATGAATATGATTTTAAGCGGAACGAGCCATATTTGAGTCGCGGCTTAAACTTAAGCCGCGGCTCAAATTCTTTAAATTCGGCCTCAGGATTCATTTGAGACCTATCAGGCTTTTTTACTGTTCATATTTGTTCAGCAAGAGCGCTAATTTAATCTTTAAAATCCTTATAGATTGTCCATTTTGGAGTTATGATTTTGAGAATAGTATAAATTTACTTCATTCGTCTCTGAAGTCTTATCCTTAGTGGGTAACCCTGTATTCTTTATCTGTGTTACTTACTAAATGTAATGATAAAGATGAGAACAAGGGTTGTATTGTTTACAAAATCTCCAGTCTTTTAATTAAACAATTAAACATTTCAATAATTTGGTTTAGAACATAAATTTGAGATTTTTGCATTTCATAAAAATTATAAATTGAGACTTTAAAAATTTGTCATTACTCTTGCTAGAAAATTTGTGAGACTATATATATTCAATTTTTCAATTATTCTAAGTTTTAAATTTATAAGGTTTTTTCAGGTTGCAAAATTATAGGAATGATCAAGTTTGAGTTTGTGGCAAAAGCTCAGTTCCTTCGTAACCTTTCTTTCAGTATTGTAATTCAAATTATTTTAAAATTTAAATTTGATTTTGAGAAGTAAAGACAAAATATTATCAGCATTTTAAATTCCAAAGGTAACCCATATATAGAGAATATTCTAGTTAGATTATATATAAAATACCATTCTACATGGATAAATCAAGCACATGTTCTAGTATAATAACTGGCATTTATTGATAAATACTCCAAACCAATCGATCTCAAAGAATTTCAATTTATTTAATATAGAACCAAAGTTGTCTAAACGTTATAGAATAAAATAATATGCAATAAAAACCTTCTTCATAAAATAGCTTCCAATTTTATCAATTATCACAACCTCAATCTTTACTATTTCAAATGTTTAAATGTTACAAAAAAATGCATTCGGCGCGAAAAAAAAGACGAATGTTTTTCATTTCAGGGAGTGTTCGCGAAAAATGAAAGGGGGTATAGGCTTAATGCGATAAAAAAGCGCTTTTGATCCCGTCAGGACAAATGGAGGAAAATGTACGCTAGATTGTGACGTATGTATTTAGGTTAATCAACTACACTGATCATTGTTATTAGGTGCAGTACGTGGAAAAGGGATTTGAAAATAAACCAAAATTTCGCTGAGGTCCCCCCCTCCACGAAATTTTGGTTTATTTTCAAATCCCTTTTCCGCGCACTGCAACTAATAACAATGATCAGTGTAGTTGATTAACCTAAATACACACGTCAGAATCTAGCGTACATTTTCCTCCATTTGTCCTGACGGGCTTTTGATCGTTACTAATCTTACTTCTATCTGTTACGTCTATAAGGAGAAAATTGTTAAAGACGTCTCATACCGAATAACTTAGCGGCCATACAAATTCAGAAAATTGCAACATACTACTTAGACCGTAAAAAATCAATTTAATTTCAAACAAATCATTTAGATATTACAACCTATAGTCATCGATTATCTTTCGCCACATTTGTATATAGTTTATATTTTATAATATTTTATTTTCCTAGAAAACGTTTTCAACGGATTTCGAAAATTGTGAGTGTTGTGCGGCATTCTTAGATAGTTGCGCAAGCGACAAGAGAAAAAAAAACAAATCAATTAAAAAATATTATAAAATATAAACTATTTACAAATGTGGCGAAAGATAATCGATGACTATAGGTTGCAATATCTGAATGATTACTTTGAAATGAAATTGATTTTTTACGGTCTAAGTAGTATGTTGCAATTTTCTGAATTTGTATGACCGCTAAGTTATTCGGTATGAGACGTCTTTAACAATTTTCTCCTTATAGACGCAACAGATAGAAGTAAGATTAGTAGCGATCAAAAGCGCTTTTTTATCGCATTAAGCCTATACCCCCTTTCATTTTTCGCGAACACTCCCTTTAGAATTCAATCAGAATACTTAAACTATACTAATGTGCAATATCTTGGTTCTTTTTTTCAAGACTTTTAAGGATTTTGAGGCACCACGAAATAAGGTTTTCAAACTTTATTCTGTAAAAGTCTACAATTATTAAACTATGCACTTTGTTACTCTTCGATTTAACATTTTTGATACTTTAAAGAAAGCAATTAATTAGAATACAGATTTTGTGAAACCTATTAGAAATTTAAAACCGTTTAACTTATTCCTCATATTTCTAGTTTGCGTTGAATTGTTTTATTTCCTGTTGATAATATTCATCATTAATATCCATAGTTCCGACAATTAGAAACAGACAAGCTACAATTATCTTAAAAAAATTCAGATATATTCAGTTATTACTAGTATAAAGCTGAGTAAAAAGTCGTCTTTGTTTGGACTTTTAATCAGAAAAAAAGGGTTTCTTGCATTAAATAATAATTTACTATTACTCTTGCAGCCTAATATCGTAATTTGTATATTTAAAACTATAAATTCTGATTTAAATCGTTGAAATTGAAATATCAAAGGTTTACAACATCAGGTTGCAAAGACATGAAGATTGGACAAATTGGAACACATCAGAATTTGTTGCGAGGGATTATTTCAGTATACCAGGGGTTTTACAATTGTAACTATGCTTTATTTTCAGAGAGAGGTTTTATCAATAAGACGACTTTCATTCCACTCTTAACCGATTTTGACTGAAGTGGAAATTTTGTTTCGAATTTTTAAATATTCAAGTGTTAATTTTTTATTTCGATCATATTATAGGTAAATATGTAGATTACAATAATATTTAGCAATTCTTTTTTGGTTTCTCCAAGTTCAATTTTCAAATGTTTATCAAGTCTACAAATTTATAAACAAACAAACAAACACTTCTCATTAATTTTCCCATTTAACGTATTTTTCGAGAATTGATTTTAATTTTGTGTATTTTCCGAAAAAATAAATTTCTTTTTTTTTTGAAATTTGATAAATTTTCTTTTTTGTTCTTTTTAGATAGGTGTTAGTTCAGGGGCTACAAAGTTAATTTTAATCACATCAATGATAGCAATACCGAAGGAAAATGACAAGGACAGATAATTAACAATGTTCAAAAATGTTTTGTGCTCGTCCTTCTTTATATTCATCGGTCCCATCACCAGCTGCATTATACCGTTCAATCCCTGAACAGATACAACATGTCAAACTTATTAAATTTTCTTAATTTCGTTTTTTTGTAATGCTGTTTTTTTGATAAAGGAGGAACGATACCAAAACAAAACATCTAAGCACATTTCGGTTGTTTAAAAAAAAAGAATTAAAAGTCCAACATTGTTATTTCAATCAATGCTATAAAGCTAGTTCGATGGTTTCAAAAACCATTCAATATTTCTAGCATTTGAACATCTGTGCTATATCACTGTTATTTACCGAGCTAAATGGGACTAAAATTAACTTTGCATTCCCTATAAAAAGACTGAAGCCAAACTTTTTGGTTGGAACAGCACTTATAGTTATCAACAGATTAACTTTTAAATTCCGCAGACATATAGGGAAACACACCAAGATGAGTAATGATTCTGATAAAGGATCAGTGTCTGTATCCGAATTATATGAACCTGCCGGAGAATGGAGACAAACTAAGCGCTTAATGAACAGATTAAGGATTAAAAAGTTTTAACCTCTGAATAGATTGTTGTATTTACCTGAAGTACTATAGAGGTTATGACGAGAGCAAGCATTGCTGTGTAGAATTCATGTGCTTCTCCAACCTTAATAAATTTTGCTTTTAAACATATATTAATTTATAAATTAGATTTCTTTTCACTGGTGAAATATATCTAGGACACCGTCAATTTATTCTACTTAAGTACATGCTGTATTTGTAGAATATATCCTGCAGTACTTGTAGAATATACCCTGCTGTACCTGTAGTATCCTGCTGTACCTGTAGAATATATCCTGCTGTACCTGTAGAATATGTCCTGCTGTACCTGTAGAATATATCCTGCTGTACCAGTAGAATATATCCTGCTGTACTTGTAGAATATATCCTGCTGTACCTGTAGAATATATCCTGCTGTACCTGTAGAATATACCCTGCTGTACCTGTAGAATATATCCTGCTGTACCTGTTGAATATGTCCTGCTGTACCCGTAGAATATATCCTGCTGTACCCGTAGAATATATCCTGCTGTACCCGTAGAATATATCCTGCTGTACCTGTAGAATATGTCCTGCTGTACCTGTAGAATATATCCTGCTGTACCTGTAGAATATATCGAAGCTGTGACGCGTTTGAAGTTAGAAGAGCAATGTCCAGCATACCCTGTCCAATAGTCTTCTTCGTCGCATATCTATTCGGATCCAGCTTCCCCTGAACATATAAACCTTGATATATTAGGATACAGCTTTACTTGAACATATAAACCTTGATATATTAGAATCCAGCTTTACACGAACATATAAACCTTGATATATATATATATATATAAGGATACAGCTTCAATTAATACCTTAACATAATCATAACAAAAACAATAGATATAGCTAAGTAGGAAAAGGGCTCAGAGTTAGTATAAAAAGATAGGATTTTTTTTTGGAAAGGATATGGCACACTCCATTTTTGCAACATTACTGGTACGATTATTTTTAGTAGAGAATATGTATTCCATGAGAAAGGTTAGGATGAATGCAGGTGTAACTGTACATAGATAAATTATACCATTCAGTTATTTGGGAGATTTTATAAATTGTCTTAATTTACAACGTTACAACGTACTATGAACGACATCTTTATGTTTGATTGATTGGTCTCTTTTAGGTCCTAATTCAGGTAATGGCACATTTTTCTGAAAATCAAATTTAAAAATGTTTGAGAATACATAGTTGGAGGAACTTGCAACTACTGCTAAAATAATCTTAAGCAGAGCTCTGAACGATATTTAAATGCCAACTTTAAATTTTCGTTAGAAATTCAGTATTGGACAATCAAAAGACAATTTTGTGTATTCTAAAAGCAATTTGAATGTTTAAATGTCAACTGTACATATATATTTGTCTTACCGTAACTTGATGGCGTAAAAAAAAATAGAAACAAAAAAGTCTTATCCTGTTGCGACCTGTATTTAAAGGTTTTTAGCTTTCTCTTGTGAGAAGAAAATTCCTGCCGATAGCTTCAGTAAAAAACATTGTATCCGCCGCGGTAAAGAATTAAAACTGCAGATTGCCATGATTATTGGTAACAAGCACATACTTTTATACAAGTTTTTTTCAGAAGTTTTATTTGAAAAGATCATAAGAATTGTGATATTTATAAATTAAAACATTCGTCTCACTTTATTCATGTTTTTTTGCGTCAGTAATTGCGTATGTTATGCTCAAACAACTGTTAAATATCAACTGTTACGCTAGAATTGTAAAATATACGCTTCGTTTCCTGTCACGCTAATAAACAACAGCTTGAATACTTTTTGATACTGATTTTTTAAAATAGTTTAGATTTTTTTAAATAGTTTAATAGCAAACTACTGATGAATTACACTGATATACGTTAACCTTCAAACCGTAACTAAATATCCTGCCCCTGCAGTAGAATATACGATCTGGGAATTTAGAGTAAAATTCGTCTCAACAAAATTTCTATTTTAAAAAAGTTAAATTAATAATGACCCTAACCTCCTTTTAAACAAAGTTTCCAATTATTTATCTGTAATAGTTTTTTTTTTAAATTTACATATTTATATTTCCGAAATTTACAGTTCTACCTGTATGCGTATCGATTAAGGCTGGAATACAATGTAAAATTGTATTCATAGGAAGGAAAACCCATTGCAGGAGCTAATCAATACTGTATGATAAATGAAGGTGGATATTTCTTGAAAATATTTAAAATAAGTGTATGCACCAACGGGCACCAACGGGTGCTGAGCCCCCTAGAAAGAAAAAATTTATCCTCCCTCGGACACATTCCTGAATACGCCCCTGTCCCCCTGTAATTTTCTTAACATGAAGACCCCTTTTCATTTTGATCCCTGAAAGTGAAAGCAGCTATTAAATAATTTTAGAAAATGCATGCAGGGAGACAAGTAAACATTGTACTTAAGAAAATAATTCTAGAAACGTGAAGGAAAAGGAAACACAAACATACAGAGAGGTATATATAGTAATAGTATAGACAGAATAAGAAAGTATGAAAAGAAATAACAAATGGAGTAGAATGAAAGGGAAAGGAAATGGAACAAGAATGTAATTAATGAGTGCAATGAAGAATCCTTATCTAAATTATCAATGAAAAATGCTATTGCATGGAAACCCATTCCCAAACAGAAAATTGATTTTATTTTACGCAGTATAATATATACGCTTACTAAACTTGAATAAATTGATTTTATTTTACGCAGTATAATATACGCTTACTAAACTTGAATAAATAGGTGAACTTTGTTTTAAAACACGTCACAAGTGTATTTTCAAGTTTAGTAAATTATTCAGCTCCCTCATTCAATACAGCATTAGATTTCATTTTCAAACTCAGGGTGTATCATGATTCATAATTCACACACATGGGCACATGGTACACACTACACATACGGGTAGAGTACGTAAGTACACAATTTTATTCTTAATACTTTCTATCTATATACCTCTATCTCTCTCTATCTATCTATCATCTATCTATACATCTGTAAATCTATTTATCTCTCTATCTATCTATATATCCATCTATCTATCTATCTCAATACCCTAGTTTGAGGACGGAACTCCTCGGTGGACATTTTCTCTACTCTGTCCTTGTTCCCCTTGTCGTAGTTAAAGTTGTTCTGGAGAGGGGAGGTGGTGAACGCGACCAAGGAGGGAGGGAGAGAAGGGCGGGGCAGGGAGGGAAGTCGAGCTCGGGAGTTTGATGGATTTTCTTGAAATATAAAAAATAAATAAATCGATTTAACAACGGTCCAGTTAAAATTATACTTGAAATAGTGTTAAAAACGGAAGTGTATGTCTACTTTCTCAATTACGTGAAAAAGAATCAAATCCAATGAAAAATTGAATTAAATTAGTTAAAATATGTTTTTATATTTCCCTAATGGTTCCTCCTGTATATCTGAAACCTATGAACCCAGGGTCATGCTAAAAAAAAAACAATAAAATGAATGCAAGGCCATTTTGCTCTTTCTGCATTTACTCTTTTGCCCTATACTATTTATTTTGCCATTTGCTTTGTTTGCCGATTGCTATACATACCTGTCACATTAACTTTTAACACTATTTTCTCGTAAAAATATCATATTTAGGTTAGGGCTTCTAATGTTATATTAAGGTTAGGGGTTCTGATGTTATAATTAGGTTAGGGCTTCTGATTTTATATTTAGGTTAGGGCTTCTAATGTTATATTAAGGTTAGGGGTTCTGATGTTATAATTAGGTTAGGGCTTCTGATGTTATATTTAGGTTAATATAAATAACATAATATTTTTGCATATATCCCTTCCTGCCAAGCTGATCTAGTTGCTGAACTATCTTCCAGTTTATTATTGCTGTTGGAGTCCTTTATTGAATCCCGACTATGCATATGCATTTTTAAACCAATTATACTCAAGTCAAATTTAGTGAAAATTAACGATTTTGTTGAAAACTTTTACATCTTTAAAACCTGATTATTCTTTCAAAATTAAAATTTTGGCATGATTTACTTTTTTCCTTCTCATCTACTCATGTGCATATATCGTCACGTACAAATATCCCCCATTAACTTTTTAATTAATTAATTAATTTTTCTTTTTTATGATTTTGTTGTGAAACTTCAATTTTTTTAATGAATAAAATCACATTTTAGAAATATTTAAGAAGGTTCAAATTTATATTCATTCGATTTGGTATAAATTTTCAAGAAGAACGTATGCTGCGAAAATGTGATGTTAATGTTTTAATTTAATGGGTTCAATAAAGCAATTGATCAATTAGTCAAATAAACTATAATTAGTAATTGGTATATAATGTATTCCCTAAATGTTCGACTGATCAACGAAACTATACTTTTCCTTTTTTCTGGTTCTTCTGAACTAAAATAATAAGAAAATTTAAAGATATCTGAACGAATTATTAGAATATATAAATTAATTGAATCCAAATTGAAAGTTTGTTTTGTGCTAAAATATAATTTTTCTTATGAAATTAATTTTATTTACAAATCATGCCTCAACAGTTTGCATTTCTTTAAAAGCGTTTAAAGATAAAATAAATTTCTTGCATTAAATTTGAATTTTTATTGAAAATATGGTTTCATATATTTTTATCTTGAAAACCCATTTTACATAATTAATCCTGCTATAGTTGGGATGTGGGTATGTTTGTTCGAAATAAACTAAAATTATTTAAATTTCATCAAAACCTTAAATTAAATAAAATTTTATAAAAATATTAAAAAGGTTTAAATGAATATTCTGACCTATTTGTTTGGAAGTTAACTGAAGTATTCAAATCTACTTGTCCTGAAAAACTAAAATTAAAAACTAAAACTAACTAACTAACTAATTAACTAATTAACAAATTAACTAATTAATTAACTAACTAATTAACTAATTAACTAACTAACTAATTAACTAAATAACTAACTAACTAATTAACTAATTAATTAACTAATTAACTAATTAACTAACTAACTAATTAACTAACTAAATAATTAACTAATTAACTAACTAGTTAACTAATTAACTAACAAAGTAATTAACTAATTAACTAACTAATTATCTAACTAACTAACTAACTAATTAACTAACTAATTAACTAATTAACTAACTAACTAACTAACTTAATAACTAACTAACTAACTAACTAACTTACTAACTAACTATTTAACTAATTAACTAACTAACTAGCTATCTAAATAACTAACTAACTATCCAACTACCTTACTAACTACAATTAACTAACTAACTAACTAAATAACTAGCTTACTAACTTAAAACCTTTTTAATTAACCAACTAAATAACTTACTAACTAACAAACTAACTAACTAAATAAGTAAAAAACTAAGTGACAAACTAAGAATCTAGGTAACTCTCAAACAAATTCATGAGATAGATAACTATCTGATTAACTAAACAAATAACTAACTAATTTAAAAACTAGCTAACAAACTAACTTACTAAATAAGTAAAAAACTAAGTGACAAACTAAGAAACTAGCTAACTCGCAAACAAATTCATGAGATAGATAACTATCTGATTAACTAAACAAATAACTAACTAATTTAAAAACAAGCTAACTTACTAACTAACTACCTAACTAAATAACAAACTAGCTAATTAACTAACTAACTTACCAACTAACTAACTAACTAACTTACCAACTAACTAACTAACTAACTTACCAATTAACTAACTAACTAACTTAATAAATAACGAACTAACTAAGTAACTAACTAACTAACTTATTTATTTGCCAAATAAATGACGAACTAAATACCTAACTAACTAACTAACCTGTTTTACCAGTAGCGAACCAAGGAACCTGAGTAAACACTTCTTCACTGAAGCACAATGTTTAAATATAGTTATCGAGAAAATAAAGTTTTACTGCACAAAAGTATGAAAAGCCATTTATAATTTGCAAATCATGAAATATTTTGATTAAAATATTCTGAAAATTATAAAGCATTGTTTTCCTAACAGGCTCCATAGAGGTGAGCCCTCATGAGTATTAGAATCCCTGGTTTACTAAACTACTGATAGAATTCCCTTGGACACCTTGGATACTATATACACCTACACTACCAATACATAGCTTTCCATATACAATACATACCATACTACACCTTTAATCCAGGCTTAATGGGCTTTTAATGCTTTTATAATTTCAGAAATATTTATGAAAAGAGATATTTTATACATACATTATAAAATTAAATGCATACATAGCTAGATATATCATTATATATTTTTTTTAAATAATTTGATTACACGCCTGAAACTCTAATTATCTAATTCTTATATTTTTGCAACCTCATGTTGTAGACCGTTGATATTTCCAGTCTGAAACATCAAAGGATTACACCCTCAGGTTTCAAAATTAAAGGAATTAAAAATTTGTAGATTTTGAGGCGAGTAATTATAGTACTTTTTTATACAGAATACTTTTTGTAATTATTTTTTCTGCTAGTAATTCTAAACAATCTCATACAAACGTATTAAATGAGTGAGCTGAGTCAAAATAAAAGAATATTTTCACTTAATTAACGCGCGTACCTAGAATCTAGAAAATATTAAATGAAAAATGAAGATTACAATTTGCAAAGTAATATCGTATAATTTTTAGAATACTCCGAATTTTAGGAATTTAGCACAAGTTAAGATTTCAAGGGAAATAGATTAATATAAATCTATTGGCGTTTGTGACCTCCTGTTTTAGAGTGTTCAGCTTCTAAAGTTTTGGCCTCCTATAGGCTGAACTCAGAAATTGTGAAATTATCGTATATTTACCTGGGTAAACTGTACTTCATCAGCATCTAGGGTAGACCCTAATCTTTTATTCTGTACATTCAAATCCTGCAGTACAATAACAAGTAAGCATAATGTATATTCCGTACATTCATATCCTGCAGTACAATAACAAGTACCCTAATTTATATTCGTACATTTATATACTGCAGTACAATAACAAGTAATATAATATATATTCTGTACATTCATATACTGCAGTACAATAACAAGTACCATAATATATATTCTGTACATTCATAAAGTAAAGTACAATAACAAGTACCATAATATATATTCTGTACATTTATATACTGCAGTATAATAACAAGTACCGTAATATATAATCTGTACATTTAATACTGCAGTACAATAACAAGTACCATAATATATATTCTGTACATTCATAAACTGCAGTACAATAACAAGTACCATAATATATATTCTGTACATTTATATACTGCAGTATAATAACAAGTACCGTAATATATATTCTGTACATTTAATACTGCAGTACAATAATAAGTACCATAATATATATTCTGTACATTCATATACTGCAGTACAATAACAAGCAAGCGTAATATATGTTCTGTACATTTATATCCTGCAGTACAATAACAAGTACAATAATATATATTCTGTACATTCATATACTGCAGTACAATAACAAGCAAGCATAATATATATTCTGTACATTTATATACTGCAGTACAATAACAAGTAAGCATAATGTATATTCTGTATATTCATGTACTGCAGTACAATAACAAGCAAGCATAATAAATATTCTGTACATTCAAATACTGCAGTACAATAACAAGTAAACATGATAAATGTTTTGTACATTCAACATATACTGCAGTACAATATAACAGGTAAACATGACATTTTTTTCTGTATAGGAAAACGCGATATTTATAAATGGCACTGTAAGCGTAGTTCAAAAGTGACCCTACATAAAAAATAGCAATGCCCGAATTACAATGGTACATTATTTAGATAAAAAAGATAATAAACGTCACCTAAAATTACGCCTACAGTCCCTTTAGTTTACCTTTGCTCTAGAGGTTCCCTCCATGTATCTTGTATCGTAGAGTTCGAAATCAGTTTCTTGCATAATTGCTGTTCCATTCTAAACAATTTTACTATTTGTCTAAGGTTACCAATATAAAGGATGAATTTGTGACTTGAAGGTGAAATGTAAAATTTGTTGATTTAAATAAAATCTTTTATTGTTATTTCTAATAGCTTGGAAGAGAAAAAAGAAGTTACAGTGGTAGGCGATTATATCGATAAAATAAAAACGACTTTCGATTTCAATGAATATACATAAACATAGAAGACAAGAGAAGCTATCAATTAAAAAAGCTTTTGTGTGATTACTTGTAAACTTGTAATTCGTAAAAAGCTTGTTGACAATCAAAACTTAAATTTAAAAAGTCGTCTTTGAAATTTGAAAAATTTGAAAGCTCTGAGAATAAGGGGGGGGACACTTCCCCCTTGCCCCCCCTGTATTCGCCCTTGATTATTTTTAAATACCTTTGTGTTTAGAGTTCTATACTGATTGTTCAAAATGTCGTCTTCTAGATGATAAATTCCAGCCATTTTAAACTTTTGAGATTTTTGGAAACACTATGTTTAAAGTCTGCTGTGAACTCTGAGAAAAGTAAATTGAGACGATGAACTATGAAATCAGAACTATAATTGATTGATTAATATTAAAAATGTCAAGTTGTTTATAGAATAATTACACAAAGCAGAATGATAGTATTGTATATTTACAAATATCACTGATACACTTTGTATTACTCCTTAAAAGGGACTGTAAACGTAATTTCAAGTAAATCGGGCATACCATACCATCTTTAAATAACAGGGTCACTTATAATTACAACGACAGTCCCTTTAAACACAGAGCTTTTAGATAAATATAAAGTTCTACAATTATCCATCCATTAGACTCAACTCCTGGATATAATTTGTTCAGATGTAAACTGTTCTCAATACTAAAGAAAAAAATCAATATTCTACATATAACATATCCTATCTATTTATATATATATATATATACATCTATATATCACATGCCACTAAAACACCTGTGAGCAGAATTCTTGAATAAAAATCTTTTCTAAAATTGTGAAAAGAAATTTCAAAGTTTTGACAAATAATCGATAAAACAAGAAATGCGAGAGATTTAAACTTTACTGTATAGAACGGAGAATTGTAAAGAAATCTTTTAAAAATAGAACTTCACTCATAAATATAGTACATGAAAAATTGCTTTGAAAAATCACGTAAAAAGTATGTTTTACAAATAAGATATTACTCGCTTCAAACAATTATCTTATAATGCCTTTAGCACTGCAACCTGAAGGGTGTAAACCTTTTTATTTGAACTAGAACAATTCTTTATAAAGGTCTAAGATTAGAAAAGTTAGAAAATTTATTTGTATCACATATTTTATAATGTATATTTCCCCAGGTACCGTTTATAATTCAGTTTAATCTTATTCATAGTTCGGCTTGTTTTTGGTTTAGATACGGTGGTAGGCCATTATATCAATAACATGAAGGCGAATTTACAAGTTATTAAAGAGAAGCTTTTTTATTTGACAGCTTCTCTTTGTTTTAATGTGCATCCGTGTTGCTTAAAAGCTTGATATAAATAAAAATTTAAATCGAAAGTCGTCTTCATTATATTTATATAATCGCCTACCACCGTAGAGAAACTGAACTCCATATTCTTAATGAAAAACGTTTGAATTCAAAAGTTTAACTCGTTAGATTTGTAATATTAGCAATTCCGATTTGTCAAGCTTGACAATCTCGTATAGCACTAATGGTAAAATCCCAAGAATGTGAACATGCCAATGTAAGATGAGTTTAAGAAACAGCTGAGATAAAACTATTCGAAGGTAACAGAATAGGAAAAAAGTTTGCCTGATTTCTACAAGTGAAATTCCGGTTTTCGGAAATATTTCGGAAAACGTTACCGGGACGTTTTTTTTTAATGTGGAGGACGTGACTTGACAGATATACATTTTTTAATGTGGAGGACGTGACTTTACAGAAATACATTTTTTAATGAGGAGGACGTGACTTGACAGATATACATTTTTTAATGTGGAGGACGTGCCTTGACAGATATACATTTTTTAATGAGGAGGACGTGACTTGACAGATATATATTTTTTATCTCTAAAAGTTCTTCTGACTTGTTTAAATTAATTAGTAGTTATCTATTCTTCATGAGTGAAATATGTAAGATAAGACTTCTATGAATGTGAGAACAAGTGAAAATGACAAATTTCCAGGAATGATTCAACTTTGTTTAACAAAATCTTTATCAGAATCTTTGAATTTAAAGACGTTAAAAATTATAGGCCTTAACTTTATTCACAATTTTGCGGGTTTTGTGTAAGTGTTTTATTCTATTTTTGCATTAATGAAATCACTTTTGTTACCATTAACATAGTTAATTTATAAAGTCTGTATCTGTTCAAACCTGGACAAGCTTCAACAGGAATATTGAAAAAAAAACTTTTTTTGTGAAAATATTTTTGATAAAAATTAAATTTTTTTAAATCTGAGGAATTGATCCAATGATAAAATTAAACACTGGATTTGTTTGAAATGGTAAAATTTTCTTTGCATACTCTAGACTACATACAGATACTAATTTAAAAGCTGTAAACTGGTTCCTTCAACAACAACAGCATAATGAACTACAACCCCATAATATTCTGGTGGATTATGGTTGTGGGTAAGGTTCAGTTATATTATTAAGAGGATTGTTCGAAGACGTAATTTCAAGTGTCCCATATTTAAAAAAAATAGAGAGGCATGAACAAATTACAATCGATACCCTTTAAACCTTTGTCTGATCAAGGATGAATGAGATATCCTCATCATTCTGGCTGAAAATTAATTATTTTGCTCACTTATGCTGATGGGACAATGTTTAAAATAGAAAAACGATGAAATCTTCTTAAAAGTACCATTGTGAATCGGTCAAGCCACGAGAAAACTATTGAATCTGATCAATGATTATATCCTTGGTTGTTCCAGAGCAACCATAAAAAAGTAATTGGCTACCCACAAACGTTGATATTTAAAAAAAACAGTGATCTAGAATATATAACAGATATAATGTAAATATTCGAAAGTGCTAGGCTCACTGACTGTTAAACGGGACATCTGAATCACTAGAACAAACCTTTTTATTGTTTATAGAACTGGAGAGACAGCTTCTATTCTTGGAGGTTTACATTTATTCGGACCTTGCCAGTATATAGGGCTGGACATAAACCTGGACTTTATTCAACACGCTACTATCAACTATAGGTGAGTATATGAACTGGACATTAACCTGGATTTTATTCAACACGCTACTATCAACTATAGGTGAGTATATGAACTGGACATTAACCTTGACTATATTCAACACGCTTTTTGGAAAAATCTTAAAATTATGATCTTTATATATTCAAGTATTCAGTTCAGGTTTAACAAATTTTTCAAACAGTTTAAATGTCTGGTACTCAATTATTACCTGTCACCTGTCTAGAGATGTCAACGTTTTGATTTTTCTAGATTTTAGCTTTCGTTACGATAGTGTTCATCAAAAGTATTAACGTTTGAAACGTTACGTTGCACATTATGAAATTTTATAGCATAGAGTAACGTTACGTAGTGAATTTTCTGCACTTGAATACCTTATACAACGTTAAGCTTTAGTAAATGTTAGTGAAAAACAGTAAGCTCCGTTACGCTTTTGCATTTCTCGTTTAAAAAAACTTTCCCAACGTTGCGTTAACGCTTATGTAATATAACCACAATTTTTTAACGTCCACTTTCATGCAAGGTAAATATTTTCAGAGACCTTACGTTACACTTTCACTTAGTTTAAGATCTAAAAGATGACAAACGTTTTGCTTTAATAAAACGTCATTGGGGCATAGTTCTGTACGTTACAATGCATTTCAGTGCAAGGAATATTTATTTTGTTAACGTTACGTTTTATCTTAACCTTTCCAATATAAACTCTTTAAATTACGTTTAGAAATTTTACTAAAATGCACCTTTTCTTACGTTACGATTTATCGAAACGTTATTGTGAAAACTTTTTTGTTACACTTTTTTACAACTGACAATCAAAACTGTTTATTCGTTTCGTTTCTAAGAAAGATTTGAAAAAATGTTCTATACGTTGCGTTGTATTAAAATGTTCAAGCCTTAATGTTTCTAACGTTACACTTTATTAAAATTATATTGTTTCTAAATGAAAGCATTGCAAGATTTTTTCCGTGATAATTACATTTTTTTACTCACCCTGTATGTAGCTGTTGTATTGTTAACCTTTTTAGAGAATGTGCAGTAGAAAAATATGCATTATGAAAGTTTTTAGCATTAGACTTTCAACTCAAAGTGTGTCTTTAAGGGACTAGAGACGTAATTTCAAGTGACCTTCCATTTATGGAGTGGCATGTCCAGTAGGGGTGATCAATATTGGAATAGAGCCAACCGCCCAGTGGAAGTCGCTCCGTTTTCACCGTAAGGCCACAAAAAAATTTCAGTTTTTATTTCATCTTATACATCATTTTCTTGGAAATTCAATGCTAAATTCAAATCTAAAAAACGTTTAAAAAAGTTGAAAATTGAGTGATTCAGAGCTAAAAAACTCATCAAAAACATTAAAAAGTTTAAAAATTGGAATTTAGTACCGTTATTTGGCCATAACTTCTTTAGATTTTAATATATTTAAAAATGGTTTTCGAATCTGAATTCAGCATGAAATTTTCAAGAAAAAGATGTATCATATTTATTTTTTGAAATATTTTTTAGGCCTTACGGTAATATCTCCAATATTAAATTGTCAATTCGCAACCCTATTGACGAATTTGAAATTGTTTTTGATTACAATATTTTTATTAATTTGAAACGCAGCGACCTCAGGTGGGCAGCTGGCTGAGTTCTAAAAAAAGTCACAAAGTAATCACCCGTCCAGCATACATTTACAAGATAGGAAAACACTCCTAATTTTCAAATCATCAATCAGATAAAGGTATACACGTTATTATTGGGAATCGAGCATGGCCCTCTTTAAATGGAGGATCACTTGAAATTATCATCGTGTATTTGACGAGCTTGAAAAATAGACATGTTTTGGGACACTTCATAAAATGAGTTAAAATTCGGCAAGGCAAACCACTTTTGCATGTGGAGCAGTAGTTCCAAATTATTTTAGATTAGTATTTAGGGTTAATTTTTTCTTTTTTTACGCAATGCAGACTGACCCCTTTCTTCTATCTAACAGAATTCATAGTTTAAAATATCTAAGGTCTACAACATTGGGTAGCAAAGATATAGGGATTAGAAATATAAGTTTGTGAACAACTCAATTCCTTTATTCATTATTATCTAACAGAAGTCATTGCTTGAAATATCAAAAGTCTACAACACCAGCTTGCAAAGATGTAGAGATTAGAAAATTATAATTTGTGGCGAATTTTTAGTTCTTTTTGTGCTTTTTTTATGTTACTTACAAAGTGAGTAAAAAAGCAGCATTAGCTTTAGTTTACAAACCACAATGAAAATGTTTTCAGAGTTCATGTTTGGGGTTAAAAAATATCAAATATAGACAAGTGCTAAATTTTTTTAACACAAACAGCGCGAAATAAAATTATTTAACATTTTTTTCTTTTTAAAAAAAATCGATTAAAAAATCTTTTTTTTCTATTCTAAAGTTTCATAAAATCTATTGATGAATAAAACATAACACGCATTTTCCATTTGATAAAATATTGTTGCATTTTAGTAAGTATTAACATTTCTAAATTTTTCAACCTAAAACATGAACCATGCCGACTAAAGTTATGATTTCAAGTAGTCAAATAAACATGAAACCCAGCAGCAATTGTGTTTGTTCACAGACCCGTTCCACCTAATAAGTTGATTTTTTTCAATTAGTAAATCATTTGCTTTATAACAGAAAATGCATATGTAAATTTTTTTAATGTCGTATTCCTTTTCCAGAGTTTTAGTGGGTTTCATCAAACAATGGCAAATCAAAAACCTTTAATGTTCAAGAAACATTTATAAGATTTGAATTTTCACAAATAGCATGTTACAAAAAAAACGTTTTCAAATTTACTAATCCCTATATCTTTCCAACCCGATGGATTAAACCTTGTATATTTCAATATTAATGGTCTACGACATCGGGTTGCAAAGATATATTAAATGAAAATTAGAGTTTTTGGCATAAAATCATTTTTTTTAAACCATAAGTCTTTGCTCTCATTATCATCAGTCGAATCTCTTACATTGATATATTAGAGACGTTTTGAAATGTTTTGATTGACAGAATTATTGTTACACTTTTGAAATTAAAACTCAGCCCTCATAGTCTAACGTTTTATGAACAACATTTTCATCAGACATATATCTAACGTTAGACTAATCAATTTAGTATTCAGAGAAAAGTTATGAAACGTTTTGTTTTCCGGATTTCCTTTTTTTAAATGTTTTACGTTACATTATTGAAATTTTACTCTGTAAAAAAACTTTCGTTTCCTGATTATTAAAATAATAACCCATTTCTGCAACGTTGAATTTTTCATTATACTATAAGGGAAAACGTTTCAAAACGTGTTTATGAACAGTAATGCATTTTTCAATTACACAACGTTACACTTTTTATAAGTTGAACTTTGAAATAGAAATCCTTTCGTTACGATATTCAATCAAATCACAATTCATTTTTCAAACGTTAGACTTTCAAGCTCCCTTTGGAAACAAAACATTTCTTTACGTTATGGTCAAAAAAGTTGTAGATATTAGAAAAATAACGTTACATTTCCACAAAACGCTAACGTTGGGGGTATGTTCCTCTAACGTTAACGTTTAACGTTAACGTTAGGTATGAGCTCCTATAACGTTAACGTTTAACGTTCACGTTATATAGAGTATATCCAAACGTTACACATTATTGTAACGTAACGTACAAAAACGTACATTTTACGTTACGTTACACTATCGTTGACATCTCTACACCTGTCACATTTCTCCACGATCTAAACTATCCCTTTAATTCTATTTAACGCAATTCTTTCCTTCCAGAACTAAACAATTTGTTTGTTTAGAAGTCTAAACAACGTGATGTATTTCTGGAATAAACATCTGGAGGATTTCAAGTTTCTGCAGGGGAAAGTGTCGATAGTTACATGCTTTACTGTTCTACATCTTCTTAATACAGTAGAGAAGAATCAGGTGTGTAAAATTTAATTAATAAAGAATCAAAATGTAAAGGAGATTGAAGAATTACGGGGAAAAAAAATTCAAACACGGGCACCTCTAGAACTGTGAGAAAAAAATTATGTTTTTGAAATCTTATGTTTTTGTAAAGCAAATTATTGTGTACAATGTGTTCAGTGGACATTTTCAGTGTTTCATGGTAATCGAATTAATACACAGTTTCATGTTTAGCTGATGATAAAAAAACATGCACCGCACTTAGCCACCTTGCATTGGTGGGTTTGATCATTTTAAATTTCTGTTTGGGGAGTTTATGGGCACTACATTTCAGACAATTACAAGGATTATGGGAGACACTATTTTTAAAAAAGAGAAAATAATTCTTAAGGAACCAAACGTACCTCTAAATTGCAGAAGTAGTTTCCAGATATTATTATTTAGATACTGGTATGTCGGATTGCCAACTATAGTATTTAAATATTGAACTAAAAATATTAAAAAGTGTTTTGCTCCTGCAAATGTTTAAAGGATACCGTTGTGAATCAGGCATGTCCCTTTAAAGGGAATATCTCTTGATATTACGTTAACATTACCTTTCAATCTAAAATCATTCTCTTTAATATTTGTGAATAAAGGTTTTGGATTTCTTGAATAGTATTGTGGAGAAGAATGGAAAAGTTCTGGTTCTTCACTACCTCGGCAGAACACAAGAATGCTTCCAGGAAAAGGATTATTATGAAAGTACAAATTTTAATCTAATAATTATTTCCTGTTTTTTATCCATTTTTAAAGTATTTTTATGAGGCTGGAACTGTTTTAACTTAATGAAGAAAATTTAGGGCTTCTAAATAAATACACTGTAAAATGCAGTGGTTCACTTTATTATGTCTTAATATGCATGGCATATATTATTACTTCTATCATCCTAAGAAATATTTTATCAGTACTCATGAAAAGAAATCTTTAACAAATTAACAAATTTATTTTAAATCATTAAATAATGCTTGAATTCCAGGCCTACCTGGAAGTATTTTTGCAGCTTCAAAGAAAGGTATGCACTGCATACATACATTATAATTATAAGCAACTGCTTCACAAGGAAGCTAAGGGAATATTATTTTACCAAGGGTTCCCTAGAAAAATTTTGCGTACAAAAACATCTAGAGTGCAGCGCTTGATGTTTTGTAGAAAAAATTGGTCGAAAAAGTATTTTAATTTTAAAATTAAATTTTTTTTAAAGAATTGTCTTTACGTCCGAAGGTGGCAAAGAATGGGGTTTAGTCCGTGATAGTAGCACGGGGGTGTTATTGGCCAAATAGGCAGCTTTTACCCCTGCAGATCCCATTCTTCCTGCATTCTTCCTTGGCACTCTCTTGAGTAATATCCTGCTTTTCAACAATTAAAACAAGGAATATTATTGACATCTCCATAACTGTCTTCCTTGTCTGATTCATCTAATATTAAACCAGGCATCGCGTTTATCTCCATAGGAACTTGCCCTGTTTTCCACATTTCATCTGTTCTCGTGCTTTTTCCCTCTGTCTCAAAACTATATGAGCTCTTTAATCCAGCCATATCATGGGATAGAGCCCTGGTTTCTCTGTTGATCATTCTCATGTTGACCAGCTGATGATCTAGTATTGCCTTGATCTCGCTTTTATATTGCAGTACTTTAGGCATGAACTGTTTTTAAGCGTGTTCTCTTCAGCTCCATGTGGTACAGACCCAGGATTATCTCCCAGGCTCCTCTTAGCTGGAGCATATACTTCTATCCATAACCTTAACTTGCAGTGTAATATTTCCCTGGATTTGTTTCTCTTATTACTCTTCCTTGGAGATCATTGCATTTAATTAGGGTTCCTTATTCTCACCTGCTACTACCACTTTTGTAGTAAATGCCCTACTCCAACATATACTTCAGATCAAACCGGATACAACTCAATCAGTATTCTCAGTCAATGTGCTACTATATTTATAACATGTATATTTGGGTTTGATAAAGGAAGCTCATAAAATATATTATATATTGAGATTAAGGATATTTAAAACATATATTAATCAAATTTTGTTGTGTGTAGAGAAAAATGCGCAAAATTACATATTGGATTCAGGCGAGATTTAAAAAATATTTCTGTACCAGTATTGATTAACACCATATACTTATTTTTTTAGATCAAGTTGATAAACCATAAAGACCCTATATTGAACTAGTGCTGATATTAGGTTTACTGGAATCCCTATCTAAAATCTCATCATAAAAGTGAGGAGAGAGTAGAACTAGAGAAAGAAGGAAGAGAATCAGAACTTATTCAAACCTTTAAGAAACACGGTTTTAGGAACTGCAAGAAATATTTGAAAAAGTTTTGAATACTGTTAATTTGTTTCTTTTTATGTGAACATTTTCCTTACATATGTAAATAATCAAATAGCAACAATTTTAGATTTCCAAGATTTGTCTGTTTATTTTAAAGATTGTTAGAATTTCAGAAAATGTTCTTCTTTTTAAATATTTTGCAAATATTGCTACAGAAATATTTCTAAAAATGCTCTCAGCAATTAGTTAGAAATAGCTGCAAAATAAACAATAAGAGCGACATTTCATGATTAAAAGAAAAAAATCGACGAAAATTAAAAATTATCAAATTGATATTTCTCATAAAACAGACTTGTTCAAAATCAGCCACTTCGTTCCAATCTTGTACTTAACCAAACAAACATACAGGTACAAAAAACATACAAGTGTTGCTTAAATGAGGTTTATCAAAATATAAATCAATTACTTTATTAACTATTTGTAGATGATTTTGAACAGCGATCGTTTGCGCCATGATGAGTTTGGAGAAGCGTATAATAGAGTTCCGGCAAACGAAAGATCAAACTTAGCTGAGGTAACTTTATGGTTCAACCATTTAGAAATAGACAACTCTCATCTTGCAAATAAGTACAGTGGTCGGCGATTATATCAATACATTGAAGACGACTTTATACTAAAAATGCTTTTATCCCTAACAAGTATTTTTTAAATTACAAGTTTACAAGCAAACAAGCTTGAGAAGCTGTTAATTGACAACGTCTCTGTATTTAAATATTTAAGTGTTTCAGCTGTTTAAAAGCTTGGTAGAATGAGTTATAATGAAAATTTTAAAATAGAAAGTCGTATTCAATATATTGAAATATAAGATGGCAACTGTATTTTGTACTGTCTGCTTATAAAGGAACTGAATACAAAACTCAAATTCTGATAGTTGCATTAATCTTTGAAACCTGTCAATCAGTTGTCAAAAATACAAACTATAACGTTTAACCACTCAAAACAACCAACCCTGGTTAGGCGGGTCCAAACTGCATAGTAAATTGTGATTGCTTATTTGTAATATCTCATACTTTGTACTTGAATAAAAAATGAATGAATGAATGAATCAGAAAAGACAAACCCCTTAAAATTATAAAAGCAAAGGAATTGAAAAGTTTTGTTTACCCCGGCAGTTTTAATGCAGAAGTTCAGGCCTGAAATACAAAATGATTCGTTGTGCAAAGATTATGTAAAAAATATTGAAATATATATTTTTTTAGGATATATGTGCTCTGATGAACCAATTCAACATTCAGAATAACTCTCATTTTATGATGATGATTTTTCAGAAAATGTGATGTTCAAAATTTCAATGAAAAATTTAACTTTTATCCTTGAGTAAAAATGTTGTCAATAAAACACTCCAATTATCCAATTCATGAACATTCATAAACAATAAGTATATTAGTGTAATATGTAATACAATTCGTTACCAATTCTAAAAATAGATTTATTTCAAAAATATATTATTATAATATAATACACACATAGACTTCGCTTATTGCATATTCTTTCTTTCGCTTTAAAATACATGTTTATCCGTGTTATTGTATGTTCAGTAGCACCTCCTCTTTTATTATTCAGTAAATGCATATTAGAGCAGGGTAGATAATTTATTTCTTATGAAGTAATGTTAAGAAATGAAACACTTAAATCTAAGTTAGAAACATGTTTACAACTATTGATCAAACTGTCCTATACCGGTTGGACTATATATATTTTATTATCTCTTTAAGTATGTCTACTCCATCTTTAGATTGGGTTTGGGCTGTATCTGATCAAACTGTCCTATACAGGTTGGACTATATATATTTTATAATCTCTTTAAGTATGTCTACTCCATCTTTAGATTGGGTTTGGGCTGTATCTGATCAAACTGTCCTATACTGGTTGGACTATATATATTTTATAATCTCTTTAAGTATGTCTACTCCATCTTTAGATTGGGTTTGGGCTGTATCTGATCAAACTGTCCTATGCTGGTTGGAATACATTTATTTTATAATCTCTTAAAGTATGTCTACTCCATCTTTAGATTGGGTTTGGGCTGTATCTGATCAGACTGTCCTATACCGGTTGGACTATATATATTTTATAATCTCTTTAAGTTTGTCTACTCCATCTTTAGATTGGGTTTGGGCTGTATCTGATCAAACTGTCCTATACCGGTTGGACTATAAATATTTTATAATCTCTTTAAGTTTGTCTAAGTTCCAACTTTAGATTGGGTTTGGGCTGTATCTGATAAAATTGTCCTATACCGGTTGGACTATATATATTTTATAATCTCTTAAAGTATGTCTACTCCAAATATAGATTGGGTTTGGGCTGTATCTGATCAAACTGCCGGTTGGACTATATATATCTTACAATCTCTTTAAGTATGTCTACTCCATCTTTAGATTGGGTTTGGGCTGTATCTGATCAAACTGTCCTATACAGGTTGGACTATATATATCTTATAATCTCTTTAAGTACGATTTTCGCCACTATTGCGCGGAAAATAAACACAAAGGTTCAGGAACAGGAGTAGTTGTGGAAGATGTGGGAGTGGATAGAGATAATGAAACCGAAGGTTAAGATGAAATCATCTTTGAACACTGGGGACCATGACAATGAAGGTCTCAGCAAGCTTGGTGTATGCCGTACGTGGAGAACCTGCTGATAAGTGTTAACTCTATCCAGAACCTGCTGATAAGTGTTAACTCTATCCAGAACCAGCTGGATGAGTGTTTACTCTATCCAGAACCTGCTGGATGAGTGTTTACTCTATCCAGAACCTGCTGGATGAGTGTTAACTCTATCTAGAACCTGCTGGATTAGTGTTAACTCTATTCAGATTCTATGCATACCGAAGGGTTGAGACTTAGATTTAGTGGCAATTCTAACAAAGGCTTATATTCTTTTTTATATACTCGTAAGGGACTGTTTCTATTAGGTACTAAAAATGCTGGATGCTTTTATCGGATTTCCAATGAAAGGGAGTAATCATGATTTTCCTCTTGATAATCAGAGCATTTTATGAAATGGGAGAATAAATGAATTGTCTAAAATGTGTTAACTTTTAAATTTTCTTTGTTTAAATAAGTTTAACTAATAGTTAAATGGGATTGATTACAGTTAATAGTAAGGGGGGTGAAATAACTTTTAACTAATAATTTTATATGATTTATTTAGATAATATAAAACTCCTTATAACAGGTACACATTACAACATTAATGCCACAATAGGTAGTTAATTAAAAAGTATTTTTTTGCGTAATTTTTGCTTTTCATAAATCATATTATCTGACCTGGGAATTCATAAAGGTTTTAGACCACGTTCAACCTTTTTTATGATTTATGATTCCGCAAGTCAAGTATATTTAAAAGCAAAAATCAGTATATAATTGCTAAAGTATCCAGGATATTCAAAAACATGGACCAGGATATTCAAGAAAGATTGACCAGGATATTCAAAAAACATGGACCAGGATAAATAAGAAACATGGAGCAAGAAATTCAAGAAACATAGACCAGGATGTTCAAGATATCTATGTTGATATCGTGAAATATAGTGTTAGATATCTTGAAATAAAGTGTTAGATATCTTGAAATATAGTGTTTGATATCTTGAAATATAGTGTTAAATATCTTGAAATATAGTGTTAGATATCTTAAAATATAGTGTTAGATATCTTGAAATATAGTGTTAGATATCTTGAAACATAGTGTTGGATATCTTGAAACATAGTGTTGGATATCTTGAAACATAGAGTTGGATATCTTGAAACATACATAGTGTTGGATATCTTGAAATATAGTGTTGGATATCTTGAAACATAGTGTTGGATATCTTGAAATATAGTGTTAGATATCTTGAAACATAGTGTTGGATATCTTGATACATAGTGTTGGATATCTTGAAGCATAGTGTTGGATATCTTGAAATATAGTGTTGGATAAGTTGAAACATAGTGTTGGATATCTTGAAGCATAGTGTTGGATATCTTGAAGCATAGTGTTGGATATCTTGAAATATAGTGTTAGATATCTTGAAACATAGTGTTAGATATCTTGAAACATAGTGTTGGATATCTTGAAACATAGTGTTGGATATCTTGAAGCATAGTGTTGGATATCTTGAAGCATAGTGTTGGATATCTTGAAACATAGTGTTAGATATCTTGAAACATTGTGTTGGATATCTTGAAACATAGTGTTGGATATCTTGAAATATAGTGTTGGATATCTTGAAATATAGTGTTAGATATCTTGAAAAAAAGGTTAGATATAACTAGATGATGATGATCTAAACTATCCAAGAAGGTTGTGTAGAATTATATTGATGAACAGCAACTAATCCTCCAGACACAGGATCATAAACAAACTCAGTATCATCTCTAAACAAGATTTAGATGATTGGCCGGAAATGTTAAGATAGAAATTCTATTTAAGAGACTATAAGCGTAATGTTAAGTGACTCTTTAGGCAACAATGGGTTCAAATTATAACAGTATCCTTAAAAGCTTTGTCTTCTCAAGAATGAATTTTGTATCAAGTGTTTTGCGCATTTCTATTGCAAGAAAACTTAAAGGAATTAGCTGAAATATGCACTCGTTGTAGATATCATATACAAAAAAATGTATCAGATAAAGGTTTGAAGGGTACCGTAGTAAATCAGGCATTGTCATCTTTAATTAAAGTGTCACTTGAAATTTTACTCACAGTCCATCTTAGGGCGACGTTGAAAATTAATATCGACGAAAAAACAAATAAAAATACATAAAATTATTTCATCGTCAAAGTTCATATTTTCATTGATAAAAGATTAATTTCATTATTGGGAAAATTTTACTTGATATTTCGAATTCCCACAATTCGACCGTTCAATCCCTTTCCCTTGACAGACAATACTTGTGGGGTCAATGTGCTCATGCTCGTGGGTTCATCCTGTATAAATTAATATAGAAACATGATTATAACGTTAATGATAATGATGATAATAATTGTAGAAATGACAATAATATGATGGTAATAACAATAATGATAAAAATAATAATAATATTTTTTCCTGAACAATCCCTTTAAAAGTGAAAAAGGTGTCTACGTTACTTACATGTTCTGGTTCAGTGAGGATACTTGAGACATTAAAAGTAGGATTATAAGATAAGGTTGGTTTATCTTTATTCTCTGCATCCTACAACAACACAAATAGATTAACGAGATGTTCAGAAAGAAAACTGTATTTTTTTCTTGAAAACTTATATTTTAAGTGGAAACCGTAATTTATCTTGAAAGGAATTGAGTTTTTGCCACAAACTCTGATTTTCTAATTTCAATATCGTTGCAACCCAATGTCAAAGACCTTTAATATTTCAAACTATGAATGCTATAGATTAAATAATGTAAGTTTGAAATATTAAAGGTTTACATCATAAGGTTGCAGAGATATAGGTTTTACAAAAACTGAATTTGTGGCAAAGACTCAATTCCTTTGAACATTTCTCAGAAATTGTAACTGTAATGTTTCCAGGAAACTGTACTGTTTGTTTCTAGGAAACTCCAATGTTTCCAGAAAACTCCCATGTTTCCAGAAAACTAAAGGAAACTATAGTGCCTCGGGAAAACTTCTATGTTTCCTGAGGCCGAATTTAAAGAATTTGAGCGGCGGCTTAAATTTAAGACGCGGCTTAAAAATGGTTGGTTCCACTTAAAAATTGTATCAAATGTTACAAGATTTAAGCCGGCGCTTAATTTAACCCGGGTTTTGGTGGATTTAAGCCGCGGCTCAAATTCTTTTATAAATTCTACTTCTGGGAACTTTGATAAGAAGCGATATTGTGGTCAGGAAACTTTGATGAACTTTGAAAACTATAGTTTACAAGAGTTCACAGAATTTCAAATTTAGAGCAAATAATTCTGAACTATATATTCACCTTGTTTACTTGGTTTATAATTCCTAGTGTAGCAAGGAGCTGGACAGGCCTCATTGTTGTCACAAACATCTCGATATTAATAAGTTAGTTTCAATTATTTGAATTTTCGAAAAAAAATATGATAATCGTTAACCAAACAAGAGCGATGTTTTTATTCTAAACCTGTCTATCCAACCCCGTCTCTCCAACCCCGTCTCTCCAACCCCATGTCTCTACA